AGGTCATACCTGGGAGGGAAGAAACCTTTGATCAGAATCAATAGAAAGATCTAGCCCCTGAAATATTCAGTGCGACTTCAGTCCTCCTATGAAGAGTCCCGTTTAAACAGAAAATCACAGAAGTGTCAGTGGGACAGGACTTTCTCCAGTCCAACCTCTTCTTAGAACAGGACCAACACTAGAAATCTTTCTGCTCCTGCCAGGTCCCAGAATATTATTTCTTACCTTGGAAGTGGCGAGAATGAGATGACATCCCAGCTGTCCGTCTCAGTGTTCAGCCTTTGCACTCCATCGTATACATGTCCATTTTCATCCAGGCCACAGACAACATAGATCCTTGTTCCCACACTGACGGCATCTCCTCTCTCCACAGGTTGAGCCATAGGACTCATGCTTTCCCATTCTGACTCCACCAAAGCCATGCGCTCCACTGCTGGGATTATCCCCTCATCTGTGTTCCCTCCAAGTACGTACAGGTAGAGTCCTGCTCCTACTGCACAATGGCTATTGCGGGACTTCTTCATGGCAGGCCCTTCCAGCCAGCTGTTTTCCAAGCAATTGTAGATAAGCACCCAGTCCACACTATACCACACAAACTCATCACGGAAATATCCTCCTGTCACAAAAATGAAGCTCCCTGGAAAGACAGCAGAGAAAAGTATCCATTACACAAAGGCTAAAAATGGCTCCTGAGAACTAGAGTTCTCATTTCTCCCTGGGCTGTACTGATGAGGGGCAAGATCAGCAGAGAAAATTACTGTTCTTTGTATCAATTTGCAGTACTTGATTCCTCATCTGCACAAATATACTGGGCCCACAGGATGCAGTAAGTCACAGAATCACAGAATCATTAGGTTGGAAAGACCTTTAAGATCATCAAGACCAATCATCAACCCAACACCACCATACCCACTAAACCATATCCTGAAGTGCCACATCCACACAAGTCCTTCCAAGTCTGCTCACACTCTTGAAGAGAATCATGGAAACACTGGTTGGAAAGAACCTCTGGGAATCTCATGTCCAAACTCCCACTTGAAATGGGACTATCACCAACACTACATAAGGGAAGCCTTATTTATCTTATAAATATATCTTATTTCAAGATATTGAGCTATCTTGAAAGTCTCCAAGCATGAAGATTTCACAACATCCATGGGTAAATTTAACTTAACAGCAGCTATAAATCAGAATTCACCATCTGTCAAAACCACCATGAAAGAGAAGGCCAAAAACTTATGCTGCTTAAAGTGAAGTTATTAGACTCAATCCAGATAAAGCTAATGTATGGAGTACAATAGTTTCTGCTGTATGAAAACAAATATTCAGCCTTGTCTAACATTCTCCCAGGACTAAAGAAAACAAAAGCATTCTTTGAACGAATATGAACAGGTTTTACCAACACTAAACAATGCAGTTTTACAGGAGAAGCAGCTGAACTCCCTGCATTTGGATCTCTAAGCCTCAACTTCTGTTTGCATTTGCTCAGTCCCACTTCTTGGTAAGTTACCTACTGCTGCCACTGCGTACTGGGTGAGGTTCCTGCGCTGCAGTGGAGAACAAGACCGCCAGATCCCTGTTTTAGGTTGAAAGAGAAATAATTCTTGCTGTTCCTTGTCATGCTTTCCTCCCAGGACGTATAAGGTGTCATAGCTCCGACTAGCGTAAGGACACAGTTCCGTATTTTGCCAGCTTGGTGGAGGACAGCTGTCTAACTTCTTTATTAATCTGGAAAAGGTATCTGTCTCTCCAGGGCGCTTGCTGCGTTTCACCAAGATATCAAGGAAGGACAAACTCAGAAAAGTGACCCTGACTTTGCCCACCAAATCCAGAAAGTCTTCCTCTCTCGTTGCTGGGTCCTCCATTATCCACCTCATAATACTGTCAAAAACCACATCTTCTCGCGAAACAAAGAGGTCATCACTTTTGAGGAGCTGCATCAGCATTTCTTTGGGTAGTGCCTTAAATTCTTCTTGGCACATCACATCCCCCCAGTGAGTAAGAGCCACATTCATAGCAGACGCATACAGCTCTATAAAGGCAAACTGCTGCGAGTAGGTCATCAGGCCCAGGCAGTTGGAAACATGCAGCTCTCTCTCCAGAAATTTCTCACATAACAGTTTCACCCTGTCAAACTGAAAAAAATCAGCTGTTTCCAGTAAGCTGGTCACATTCTCTTGACCTATAAGCACTTGGGATGTGCAAGTGAACTCAAGTAGTGCCTGAAAAGGCACTGCATCAATCCCTCTGATCACTATGTGGTGTTCAGAGCTCTCTCTTGCCCCCCCAAAAAACATGGCTTCAAAATAACGACTGTGTACTGAAAGTACCCTACGGCTGACCTGAAATAGTCTCTCTCCAACCTCAAGAATTGTGTCTGCAATCATTTCTGTTTGAGGTCCCAGGTCCTCTGGTTCTTGTGCAGGCTCCATGCTTGTTGACTGCCAGGCAGTTAAAATTAACTCAGTCCTTATGCAGCCTTTACTCATGTGAGGTATCTGGAAACATTATCCCCCCCATGGTAGGAGAAACACAAGATAAGCCAATCTTGTCCTAAAAATAGAATATATTTTTTACCCTCCTGCTTTGCTCTTCAGTTTTTCCTGCTGCTTCAGAGCAGCAATAGCAAGAGAGCTGTTTAACCAAAAAAAAAAAATGCAGATTTAGTTGGCATCTACCTTTGCCAGGTAAGACCACAGCAAATTAGGGGAGCTGTTAGCCAAGAGCCTGGACTATGAGGAAAGAGGAAAAACAACCAAAACCCTCCTAAGCACTGATTAAATATCGAGAAATTCTAGAAGAACACTGAACCCATTTGGAAAAAAGTACCCATTACAATCCTTTTCAGTTCTGCACATCAAAAACATAGGACAGCACAAGACTACCTGGTAAAAAACATCGATTTCCCCAAAGCCACATCCTTCATCAGTTCAAGTTTAATATCAAATTCCAGGTTGTTTGCAGTATTCAGTACATACTTAACTTTATACTTTAGTAAGAGATAGGGGGAAGGAATGAGTCCCCATTCAAACCCAGATGGCTGTCACATTCTGCCATCCTCAATGTCAATGCACTAAGTAACTATGGTACAACCAACAGCTCACTGATTCCACACAATGAATTTGTCTAAGGTGTTCAGACCAAGCTATTAAGTGGAGATATTTGCGTGACCTTGATCTAGTGCCCCTTATCCCAAAGGGCCCATCCCAGCAAGACTCAGTCCCATTTCTCAGTAGAGTTCAAGAAGCAGAATAGTGCTGTCTGTATCAAGAGCACCGTTTTTTCCCCCTGGAGGTTCCCTCCTGCATTTCTGGAAGAGGCTTCTGCAAAACTGTTGTGATAAATGGTTTTATAAAGAGTCACTTTTAAGAATTAACCTAATAGAAAAAGCACACACACATTTAAAATTCAGTTACCGTTTTCATATTCTTATTTTCAGGTATTTGACTCCCAAATATAACCCAGAAGTCTGCACTGCATAAAAGGACAGCCAAGTATCTGGCAATGAAGACTGAGCAACCTATTAACGGAGCAGGAAATGCTGTAAACATGCCCCTGTCCAGAGTTTATGCACTTGACACATGACTTCAGGCAGATCTCTCTATACCCTCTACATCTAGAGTCTAGAATCACTCAAGAGCTTCAACAGGTCTGTCTCCAATGCTACACTCAGAAAACGAGAGTGCAGAGATACCAAATACCATGTTATTTGGTATCAACAACCAGCAATCTCACCTTCACCTAAGGGACAGTTCAAGACTCTACTCAGGCTGATGACAAGCATGTTCTGCTCCAAACACTCTCAATAAGGAGGCTCTTTTGAATTGTGCAATTGCAAGAAGAACAAGATTTGTAGTGTTAGAAAAAAATTATGTTGGAAGGAAGATGACCCTACACACAGCTCTGTGAAACACTCAAAGAATGAACCCCTAGGAGATTAAAATCCAAAAGCACTCAAGTTTACACAGGCAATATGCCACATAATACAACTGGTCCCCAGTTTTATAGCCTCCTGGAAGAGTTAGATACATTGAACTGGAATTTATTTACTTCAATTCCCATCCATTTCAGAGATGACCCAGGAAAGGCTATGACTGAGAATACAGTGCTGTTGTCAAAATGAACAGCTAATACAACCTGTCCTCAGCATGTTTTCTTGACAACCTCTGGGAATAAGACTGCTGCTGCCACCAAAACAATTTACTCCTGCCACCTGCTTTTCTTGAGGACCCTTTAGAGGAGGCTGTGGCAAAGCAGGTTACATACAGCTTACAGGCACATATTCTCTACTAGACAGTCTTTAAAATGCCTAATGGAAATGTAACAGAAACGCTTAAGTCCTCAGAAAAGGGAACAGATGCTCTCAGTCATTTCTCATCGATTTCCTATCTTAGAGTGAAGCATGGCTTCTGATCTGGTCCCTCCTGATTTTGCTGTGTTTACACACCTCCTGAACAAATTTCGTTTAGATTCACAGCTGTGGAGAACTGGAAGGTCAGCTGTAGATCACTTTCCCAGACTAAAAACCAGACATTCAAGAACAGATTAATTTGTATTTATTCACTCAAAACTCCTTAAATCTTGCTATTTCTGCAGTAGAAAAGAAATAAAACGGTTACTTACAAATCAAGTTATAACAAGCAAAATCACAAGTAGATAGCTACAATAGAAAAATATGCAGTATCTAAAGACACTGCCTACAACTGAACATTAGGATCTTAAATATTCTTCCTCTAAAATTCCAAGTATCAAATAGATACTTCCATAAGGTGAACCTTATGGTCACTCAGCCAAGAATCATCCTAGAAGTTAGTCCAGTCCTTCTGTAGAAATTTTGGAGCCTTCCGATACACTTATCGCAGCCCACAAGATCTGGAACGAGTGCTAGAAAAGATCTTACCTACATAGCTTGTACAAGTGATGACAAGGTACTATACAAGGAAAGTAATTTTCCTGCATGCGTTGGAGCAAGCGGGCAAAAGAGACTGAACTAAACATCAAGAAGACTACAACACAATGCTTCCCAGGCAAGTACTGACATCTAACAGGAAGAAAAACATGTTCTAGTGTATTTAGTCTTTAGATTAATTTAGATTAAATACATTTTTAATGTATTCAAAAAAGTAAATAATATAACGAATAATCAGTACATTTTTTACTAATGTTGTTTCAAAACTCACAAGATCAAGAGGGTCTCAGACAATTCCATGACAATATATTCTCTCCTATCAGCTCTAAACAATGTAGTTACAAATTTATTTGGGGGGTGGGACGGATCAGAACTTAATTCTTACACACCATGCCCCATCGTCTCATCATTTATGGAAAGCCACAAAAATAACGGTTGACTGTTCTTTCACGCTAACAAATACACATTCAAACTCCTCCCGCAAAACAGGAAGCTTCTCACACAATGATAGTTTTCTCTGATGTCTTGGATCCCTGAAGTCTTCAGAGACAATCCAAAGAAAGCATTAGCCATCTTGCTGCTGAATGAAAGGGTTTGGAATAGCTTCCATTCCATCCTGTGGACAAATAAGAACCACAGAAGTCCCTCTGCAGACCACAAGTCCCAGCTGACGTGTGTCTTCCGTTAATTTGTATTGATCATCTGGATCTGAAAAGCGGAGATCCACAGTTACAATGGCAACATAAGGAAAAGAAACCAAATACCATCAACTTCAAAAGGCACAGACACATGGGTTTTTTCCAGGTATCTCTGCATTTACTGACCTAAAACTTTTATGGACTATGAAAGTGATACAAGACATTACTGATTTACTAATTTTTCAAAGTAGCACATGCCACAGTGAGCAATACGAACTTTGCCTTTGTATGCAAAGCAGAACACATATCTTACAAGAATTCAAAGGCCCCTTCTTTCATCTAACGAATAGCATACAAATGATTAAAAAAGCTCCTGATCCAGTTTCAAATGCCACTATAGATCACTATAGAACACTTTGGGATCAATGCAGATCAGAAAAAGACCCTGACTTCAGAATGCACTAAGTACAGAATGCATTGATCCGTTCCCAGACCAAGCCAACCAACACCATGGATGGGGACAGACAGGCAAACACTTAACACAGCAATAGCTAATTCTACCCTCCTTAAGATGTCGATATATTTGATAAAATACACTACACTCATCTTTTAGGACTCCCTTCTAAGAGCAAAGTTAAAGCATCAGGTGCTTCCTTGTAAGCAGGTAAGAGAACACTCTTCAAAAACACTGTCCTATCATATGATAAATCTTGTTTCAGAGAGAAGAAAGGGAAATGGGAGTATTTATCCTCAGATGGGAAAAAGAAATAAATAATAAGAAAAAAAACTTACAACTCTATTAGCTCTAAGAAGCTATAGAAGGCTTTAGTTCCATAGAAATGCAGGGATCGCATTTAAAATAGAGTTTAAGACAGTAAGATACTAGTTGTTGCTGAGATGCTTTTCTTGATTTGAGCAAACCAACAACCCTCCAGCAGTATAAACAAAGGCAAAGGCAACTGCCTTATCTGAAGAGAGACACGCTACTTTATTCAAGCTTTAGAGGACAAGAGCACCAAATGAGTTATAGAGGAGCTCAAGCAAGGACTACGAAGAATGTTCTACCACAGGGAATGTGCTTAATCTAACTCTATTCTCTTATTCCTTTCTTTACAACTTAGCAATCAAGAGCATGTCTCGGTTTGGATGATGCCAACCTGCAGTTTCTGGTTATTCACTCACAGAGCTGTAAGATTTTTGTTAAGAAAATTGGGGGTGGGGGAAGGCAGCAGGGAAGGAAAGCTTTACACAGATAGCATATTACTTACCTCGCATATATTCAATGGTACCATCAAGCACAAGGTTCAGAAGAGGGTCAAATCCTTTCAAGACACCACTTGCTATTGAAGACCACACACAAAACAATGATTAGAGACCAAAACCAGGTATACAGCAACACAAGACTGCGTGAAGGACACATTCAGTTCTCCAACTCTATTCCCTCCTTCAAGCAAGGCTATCAAGCAAATGACAGATACTAAACATTGCCCTCTTTACCAAAGTGCAAACACATAAGAACCTGGTTTGTGTTGTGCCAACTGAAACTTACAGGTTTTTCAATCAATTCTTCAGAATGCTCCTCAAGACATATTTTTGTTTTCAGCCAATTTCAGGGGAATTTTCAGAATGCTTCAGCATAAAAAAATCAATACAAGTTACACCACAGAAAAACAAAACAAAACAAAGCCACTCCAAAACCAGATAAATACCATTAGCGAAGAGGCATGGCAAAAAAAAAATGAGGCAAGACTGTCATATTTTCCTCAGAAAACCCATCTTCCAGGTGCCCTCCTGGAATATAACCTCTTTAGCATAAGCACTGCTTTCACAGGAATGCACTGCAGACAGACAAGCACGTTGTCCTGAAACAGAACATGATTCCACAAGACTGGTCACTAACTACATCACAAGACTACACAGAATCATCTCCCAGTTTCAAAAATACTTGTTGATTACCAGCATTACTATCATTGCTAACAGCCCAAATCAAAGAAGAGACTCTTACAATCCCAGGTGTTATGTGAAGATCATAAAGACAATTGATGTGAATTTTTTTAGAAGAAATTCTAAACCAACAGATTCAATAGAATTGTCAACTGCTCAAAAACTACCCACACACAAAAAAAGCCACCACCACACTTATCAGTAGAGTCCAAGTAACTTCCAAAACTTTGTAAGCATCAAGTCCCAGTCTAAAAGCAAACCAAGTCTACTTTAGCAAAAGCTTCTGCCGAGTATCTCCCACGCAACATGCTGTTAACATTCAGACAAACAAGTGGTCTGCAGGTGGCACTATCTGCTGCATCGGGACGGATAGCTATAGATAGAGCCAAGGGAGCAAATAAGGTGGGGGAAACAACGACGTTAAGAGCCTCGAAAGTGATGAAAAGACATGATGAAATGTATTAAAACTATATATATACATATACGAACAATAAGGTATGACAGGTGTATTAATCGTAAGAACCATAAGTGTTTCTTTGATGCCTTAAGTGCACCTTGCAATGTGCAAAAACAGCCAAAAGAAACAAGCCAGTTGAAGACAACTAATAGAAGAAGAAGGAAGAAAGGTGCACAGATAAAACAAAGATAAAACTGCAGCCAAGGAATTAATGGAAAAGTTAAAGGAGACAAGCTTCACACCGGTAACAGCAAGCAGTTACAAACGAAAGCACCTGCTATTCATCTTCATTGTCTTTCCTTGAAAGAAAGCAACGTGACCACACAGGAGACAAAAGCCGACAAGCAAAGAGCGAGAAAAAACGCCAAAATGCAAAGTAAGCTTCATGCTGTAGAGGCACATGCCTCATCCTCGGCCCCTTGGCCGGTGCTGGCTCACCTTCTCTCCCACCTTGAAATTTCACTCGAATTGTTTTGTCGATGTATTTGGAGAGGTCCAAAATACTCTCCTTCTTCTTCTTTTCCTTATCCTAAAGGAGAGGCTCAATCTGAATTAAAAAGATCCCTCCCCTAACCCACCCTTCCCCCCGGTTACATTATATACTCCGTAACAC